TTATTACTTGGTCAATGCATGATGTGTGGATGTATCAGAGGTCATGTGAACAGTGCATTCAAGTTAAAGGAGGACCTTAAAGGTTCCAGGCTACAAAATTCATAAAACAGTGTTATTGGCTCATGTCATCTAAAACACAAACAGCCTCAAATGTGAGTCCACATATGTCTCAGGATGGGGATGCTGAGATCACCTTGGGAATCATTTAGCCTCAGATGTCCTTCAAAACTCAAAAAAGAATCAGAGAAGCCTTGGAGGGAGTGTAATAGCAACTTTTTTCACAGAATTGACCATTCAGGAAACTGTCACCATATTTTAAGTTTTTTCTGAATGTCAAAAGGTAACTCCTGGCATTCTGTCTTCTTGCAGGAATCTGTCTTTGCAAGCCAGTTTTCATCAAAACTGTATGATTGATAATTGATCATTACAAATAACTCTGCCATTAGGATAGTGCCTTCGGTATTTTTCCTTTTTTTCTCGCTATTCAAACTGCTCTGGAAAGTAATTCAGAGAGCTTGTATGAATCAATAAGTGATTATATCCAACTCTACATAGTTTCAAATGCTAGCAAGAGTGCAGGCCCATCTCTGTTACAGAGAGGGTTGTTAGAGAGTAATCTCTGAAAGGGGAAGTTTCCAACTTCCCTGCCCCAATTAATGGAGGGTGGAGCTAAGCAGGGAGCGGAAGCCAGAGGAAACTTCTGAGAAGAGACTTGGAGGAGACATATGGAGCAGAGACATGTGAGGAAGAAAGGTCCACTTGCTTCTCAGCTTTGGAATTGCACCAGGGACTTGTGGAGACATGTGGAGACACTTGGAAGAGACGTGGGTAGGTGTGAGACTCGCAGGGAGGCTGTCAATGACAGCCTTCACCTGGATATGTGCTTTGATTTTGTTCCATTTGTCCCAGACTTGATGGGCCTCTTCTGACCCTTTCCTATGGCTCCATGCCAGAAGTGCCTTAGACTTGTGGCAATCTCTCAGGCCTCAGTGTCCCCTCTGTTTGGCTAGGCAATTACCCACAAGGGTATGGGTAACTATGGGTGTTTTATTTGGAAACTATTTATTTATTTAAAAAGATTTATTTATTTATTTATACAAGTACTGGATACAGTCAGAAGTGTGGGAGAGTGAGAGTGTTCACCAGAGCCACAGCGGGGAGCAGAGCAGGCAGAAGGACCGAAGTACACTGCTGAGGGGAGCAGCGGGTGGCAGGAGAGGTCTGCGCACCATGTGGGACCCTCGCCAGTTGGCCAGGGAGAAGCCGGGGATCGAACCGGCACTGCAGAGGCTGCGGGCAGCTTCACAACCCAGCGCTCAACTGCTACGCCACTGGGGAGGCCCTGGAAACTATTTATTTAAAAGAGTTATTTATTTATGCATACAAGAGCTGGGGTACAGCCCAGAGATGCAGGGCATTAGAGGATTCACCAGAGACAGAGCGGGGAACAGAACAGGCAGACTGACTGAAACACACTGCTGAGGGGAGCAACGGGTGAGACAGGAGAGGTCTGCCTTGCCATGTGGGTATCTCCCTGGCCGGCCGGGGATCGAACTTGTGCTGCAGAGGTTGCAGACAGCTTTATAGTGCTGTGCTTAACTCCTTGCGCCACCAGGGAGGCCCTTATTGGGAAACTATTATCTTTTATTCCCTCTCTATGCACACTATTGTATTAAAGTTTTTCACACTAAGAGCTTTATCTTTGCACGGTGGAGCCCATTTAGTACATGTGAGTTTAGGGGTGCTGGGGTGCCCCTTAGTCAGCACACTAACATCTCTTCCTTTTTTAGTTAGAATTACTTTCAACAATGAAGGAAACATTTGTCAGTGACAAGGGTAGATATAATGTGCTGTCAATAGTGAACAGAAATGTTTTTTTTCCCAATGCACCCACTTATTTAAAAAAAAAAAGGCTACAGAAACAAAAAAAAAGTCATACTCTTCTTTCTCTTTACCCACACATACTTCAACTTCTTCATAGAGAAATTTGGGAATTTTGGTTCAATATTGACAGTTTAATTTTGACTTTAATTAGTTGTCTGCATAACAGTAGGTAAGGATGTTTGCCAACACTAAAGATTCTTTAGAAATTTTATCTTAAAAGATTTAAAAGCCCAAGAATTTATACTTGAAATGCTCCATGACTGCCACATGGAGTAGCAATTATCACCATTATATGCGAAGCAATATTCATATTAGATTTAGATTTAGTCTTACACCTGTTCTCTCTTCCACCACCAAGACATTTTTGGTTGATACAAATTTGTGTGTGTGTGTATATATATGTGAGTTTGTGTATATACATTTGTGCCACTGCCCAGAGATACTGCTAAATATCCTACAATGCACAAGGCAACCTGAAAAAAACAAATATTATCCAGTCTAATTTCAAAAGTGGTATAGTTGAGGAATCCTGGTTTCAGTCAGACAGAAGAAATTTACTAGTATAACTGTTTTGAAAGAACCTCATCTCACTTATTGATGCTAACTATTCCTTTTCTTAAAGAAATGTTTTTACTCTCATAGCTAAGTATAATGTGGAACCCTAAACAAAAGGGATTAATTGAATAGAACTAGACTAACACAAAGGATGAAATATAACCAGATTTTTAAAGTTGTTTATTTAGACCTAACTGTAGGCATGACTCTTTTTTAAATATTGGCTGAGGCTTATTAGAATCTGGTAAAATCTTTAGTTCGTGGGTCTCTAGTAGTATATGAAGGTTCATTAGAGTCCCTATATATTTATATTTAATTTTAAAACGTGGTTTCTCTGTTGTATCTTTAGTTGTTTTATTGACGTTCTTTAAAAAAAAATTTTTTTTAAATGATTTATTTATTTATTTATACAAGCACTGGGTACAGTCAGAAGCACGGGAGGGTGAGAGAATTCACCAGAGCCAGAGCAGGGAAGAGAGCAGGAAGACTGATGAAATACACTGCTGAGGGGAGCAGCGGGAGAGGCAAGAGAGGTCTGTCATGCCATGTGGGACCCTCGCTGGCAGCCAGGGATAGAACTGGCACTGCAGAGGCTGTGGGCAGCTTCACAGTCCAGCGCTCAACTGCTGCACCACCAAGGGAGGCCCTTAAAAAAAATCTTATTTGTTCTTTATCTCTTTGTGATTTCAAAGCCCTATATTATCTTACACATTGGCATAAACAACCTTTCTTAGAGAGTCAAATACCTAACCAAGGACTTTAATATTCTAGGATGGGTTTCCATCCTAGAATAGAAACTGTCAATTAATCTTTGTGCTCCACTCTTTTTTAAAAAAATAATATTTATTTTTTTTTTGAAGAAATGGGCAGAGGTGCAGGTGGGTGAGAGTGATGACAAGAGATAGAGTGGGTTTGCAGAACAGGCAGATCTACTGAAATACACTGCTGAGGGGAGCAGCGGGCGAGACAGGAGGCGTCTGTTGTGCCATATGTGGGTTAGCTTCCTGGCTAGGTATCAAACCCAGGCCAGAGCAGTGATAGCATGATAGCGCTGAAACTTAACCCCTAGACCACCAGGGATGCCCCCTGTATTCCATTCTTGTGCTGCTTTTCATATCTCTTTGAAATGAGATTGCACTATTTTATTGACTGCATGCTCAGACCTCAGTATTCTTAAAAAGCCCGTGTTGTTTGGCTACATGGATATTGGGTTAATGAACTCACTGATCAAAATTTCTTATTTTTTTAAATAAAATCTATGCTATTCCAGAAAGGATTTGATATCTTTTATCAAAATACTTTTTCAGGCATTTAAACTACTTTGGCTATGTTTCCTGGCAGCCACATTGACCATACTCCAGACGGTTTCAGGGACAAAGTGTTTTTTAATTGTCAGATATTGAGAAGCTCTTGACTATTTGTCTAAGCCCTTGAGAAAGAAGAAACTGTGTGGCCATGTGTCACTAGGAAGTTCACTTCTCAGATGATACCATTTTGTCATCTTGCTTCATAGTTGGTATGCATTCCTCTATTCCAGAAACTAGGAGAACTGAACTTAATATGGCAAACCTATGACTCACCCACAGAAGTAAATCCCAGAAGTAAAATTATTTTTATCTCTTCTAAATCTTTTAACCCTTCTCTGATCCATGATAAGTGAGTTGATTACAAAAATTTCTGTTATAAGTGGTTAAGTATGGGTCAGAGATAACAAAAAAGATTATTTCTTACTGTGCAATAATAATTTAAATGGTTAAAATGGGAAAACCCATTTAATTTCTACTTATCTTAGACGTTAGAGATGGAACATTTGGCAAGAGTCACAGAACACTCACCCCATCACTATGGGAAGAACTAAGATTCTGGACTATAGATTTTTTTTTTTATTGAATTTAAAGGTCAGTGGCATATTGTCTTGTCACAGTCGAAGACCCAGCTCCAAAATCATTCCAGTAAGAATTTTCAAACTTTTAAAACCTACTTTATGTAAAATCTTCTGATGTCTCTTAACAGATACTTAATTTATTCAACGGTAAGGCAAAGGAAGATCTTAACTTCTTTGATATGAGGGATCTGAAGAAATTAGGAGTGAGCAAGATAAATATCAGAATGTCAGCACTATACACATTTCCTAGTGGATAAGATCTTGCCTTTGTTATTTTAATTTTCTCTGCATGGAATCAGAGAGTCTCCATGCTTTCAGTAATGATGATACAAAGTTGCAAGCCTTCTAAGGTCTTCTCAGGAAGTAATAAAGCAAGTTTAAAATTGCATTTGGCTCCAAAGGGAACACAGACACACTCATCCATTTACCCACATTTTGTTAAAACCTGCTATTTAAGTAGGTGCAGAGGTAGTGTTAGGGGGAAATGATGTCCTGGGCAAACTCCATGCAGGCTTTGTGGATGCCACCCCCTCTCCATCAAGACACTGGGAACAACAAATCCCATGATCCCCAAAGGGAGGTTGTGAGGGCCTAAGGGCAGAGTTAAGCAGCCATTTTCTCTGTGATTATAACCAGCCATGTCAGTGGGGTCGCTCTCACTTGGCTTGTGCTCTTGGCCAGGCAGGTTTGGTCCTGGAGGGTCATTTGGGATTCCAGGTCGGCGGAACAGGTAGGACACATTTAAGAATTTATCTCCCTCTTTTTCTCCCTGAGTTGTTCATTTCTATATTTTCCTTTCCCTTGTAAATAAGCCTTTTGTTAACCTTTTGTGTGTGCCTGCAGTTTAAGTCCCCTTTAAGTGCGTGGGTGAGGATCCACAGTCAGGCAAACTGTTTTATATTGAGGTTGCCCTGTAACAGTAGATTCTGGGTATTGAAAAAACAAGACAAAAATACCATTGGGCGTGAATGACGTAGTGAGGAAAATGTATATAAAATTTCAGTAAAGTGATAAGTGAACAATAGACTACATAGAGAAAGAACTGATGATGAGTAATTTGGGAGATGGTTTTAGGAAGCTTGCCCAGAGGAGACCCTTTAGTTGGGTGATGGGGAATGAGTAGGACTTCATAGGCACATGAGGTAAGTAAAGGCATTCAAGGCAGGTAAAATGCCCATGTGAATAAAGAGACTGAGATGAAAAATAACATGTGCTTCTTGAGAAACACAAATAATTTTGGTACAGTTTTGATGGAAGGATTGACATTGGGTAAAGCTGGAGGAATAAACAAAAGGCACATAGGTACAGGAATGTGGACTTTTGCTTCCAGATGACACAATAACATATTCCATTTCTGTCACATTGAGAGTTTAGAATTCCTCTTTCTCCTCTTTGTTATAATGTACTTTTCTGACATATAATGCTTCTCTGGCAATTGTAGAGAGATACAAGTGAGAGGGGGTAGAAGGCAGGGAAAGAGAAAAGTAATTTCTTTCCTCATGGAAACAAGGGAATATAAACAGAGTGGAGACTATGATAAGGTCACTATCAGTAGTTAAGCATGAGGAAAATGCCTACAGAGCATGTCTGTTCCCTTGAAGGCAAGCCCATGAGCACCTGAGAGAAGAAACATCTCCACCACTATGTCCTAGACTGGGTAGGGTGTAGTCTAGTTTGACCATAAGCATGGAGATAAGTAGAAATTCAACAACTCCAATTAGACTCCTGCCTTATAAAAAGGAGATGATTTTCCAGTTCTTGAAACAAAAATAAAGATAGGGGGGTAGAGAGAGGGAATGTGAGAGGGAGAGAGAGAGATGAGAGAATGTATATTCAAATAGTCATAAAATCACTATTTTTTTTTGGAATGTTAAAGCATGGAGCCATGTGATATTTCACCATATGCAGACTAGAATTATCAGACTTTGAAAAATGATGTCAAGAGGGGAAGAAAAGGAAAAGATTCAGTGAAGGGGGTAGTAAAATGGATTTGTGAAGCCTGTTCGTTATTTACTGCTGCATTGCACACTTGCTATGTGACCTCAAGTAGGTTAATTAAGCTCTACTTCATTTTGCCTATTTGGAAATGTTAGAAATGCCTTTCAGGGAATTTAGAAGGATTATTGTGTTTTAAGAGTTTTAAAGCATATTGAACTTTCCAGATTAAAGGGTACAGATAAAGTCTTTTAACTGTTACTGTTTTGTATCCAAAATAATCCATCTTCAGTTTCATTGATCAGACAATGCCAGATGGTTCACTCTTAGTCCAGTCTTGTTAAAGTTTAATGGTTTCTGAACTATTATTGCCAAAAACCTATCTCACTTCTATTTCCTATCCCTTCCTGAAGGTCAGCTCAAGAGATTTTTGACTCTTGGATCTTGTATCTATCCTTACTTCCATGGTGGTGGTAGTAGAAGGGGAGTAGTCTTCCCCGATGCTTATTTTGGAATCACTTACGCCTTTTAAGTTCCTCTAATTATCTCTCATCATTTAGAAAAATCCCCATAACTTACCTTTGGGTTTTTCTGTTTGGAAATCATCTTATTTATTATCCTGATTAGTAAGTAAGATGCCGTAAATACGAGCAACCAGGATATTTCTCGAAAAGGAGGTATGCTAGGGAAAGATTTTGAGGGAGAATGTCTAAAGAAAACTCACAAACTGTTCTTTACCATAGGTGGGAGTAGGGTAGGTTCTGCATTAGTGTAGCAATGAAGGAATGCATTATCTGCATACAACTGAACAATGGTAATAGAGCTGACTAAAAATTGATTTGTTTTTTTTTATCATCCCCATGCATCAGCAATTCTAAACAATGTCAACTGTAAAATACTGCCTTTAGCCTTTATACACCACTGCTCACAAATGCATACATCTTGTTCTGGCCCACACTGATAATTTTGTCCTTGTTATATTAAATGGTTTCTTTTCTCGGATAATGGATTTTCTTCTACCACTTGGCTATGAATCAATTTTGTCTTCCTGATTTCCAACCTGTGAGTGGAAGCTGTGTAGAGGGAAGGACACTTTTCAAATAACATGGTGTTTCTCCTAAAAAGCAGCAGTAGTGACACTACTATTGGGTTTTGATAAGAAAGGAAACAGAAGTAAAAGAAGACATCCTTGCTGTCATTCACATAGTCTAGGATCTATGACTCCCTGCAATATTATTAACTAGTCAAGTCACATATGCAAATGAGTTCTTTCCATTGGCTGCTGCTGAGTTCAATGACAATTGTTTTCCTTAACTACAGTTGTGCTTAATTCTCAGAAAGAAATAATGACTTTCTGCAACTTCTTCAGGCCATTTTGCCTTTAGAATATTCTTTGCAAAAAGAACATCCTCAGTAGTCAATTTTTATGCAGCCAGACACCAATATAAGTTTGCACTGCTTTAGTAATTATGTATATGGAGAAGATAGAAAAAATCCTTTTTTTTTAAAAGATTTATTTATTTATTTATACAAGCACTGGGTACAGTCAGAAGTGCAGGAGGGTGAGAGAATTCACCAGAGCCTGAGTGGGGAGCAGAACAGGCAGACTGAAGAAATACACTGCTGAGGGGAGCAGTGGGTGGCAGGAGAGGTCTGCACGCCACATGGGGCCATTGCCCGGCAGCAGGGGATTGAACCGGCGCTGCAGAGGCTGCGGGCACCTTCGCAGCCCAGTGCTCAACTGCTGCTCCACCAGGGGAGGCCCCAGAAAAAACTCTTGTTGTTGCTCAACTTCCAGACAGATTATCCTGAAGGATAAATTTTGACTAAAGTAAGGACATAGCTTTCTTGATGTTTTGATTTGTAGAACTGGTATCTCCTTGAAATCTACCTCTCTACCTTTCATGAAGGCTGGTGCTGTACTTCCTTTATTTTCATTTATAATCTATTTTTTGATTAATGTGGTAACTATATTTAGCACATTTCCACAACTGGACTCTCCAGGGATTGGAAATTTTCACCACCAACAGAGGTGAAGCAGATTTGAGACGTCAGTGAAGAGATAGACTTTAGTCATTAGTCAGAACCTGATCTTTGTATTCTTAGTCTGAGGAACTTACATCGCCCAAGTTGCAAGTTTGATCAAGCATACCTAAGGCTTCCAAAGGAACTCCAACCTTAGGAAGTGGCTTACAGACCTTCTCTTCTAAACCTTAGTTAGATGCTTGAATCCCTTTTCAGTAAGATATTTTTGGTTACATGTTTATTTATATTAATTGACATACCATTGGTTTACATAACTACTAGTATTTTTGATCAAATATTTCATCAATTCTTGTTGGCATAATTCCAGTGGTGGGGATAGCATTATGTTCAGTTATATTCCATTTCAAATTTTATGGTATAATAGTATACATTTTAGCATTCTTCTTTATTTTGAATTGGAATCTGCCTCTTGTTTGTACTCTTGGGTGACCAAGCAAAGAAAAAAAATCTTAAAATGAACACATGCTTTTCTTGTTTGCTGGAAGTAGATGGCAATTAGAACCTCATCTGCCACATATATTCTTTGTAACTTAGCTGTGATACAGAGTGAAAATGATAACTCTGGAAATAGTGAAAAAAATTCAAATCTGGACTTAAAAGAGGTTACAAAATGCTGTGTATTCTATGAGAATAAGATACTTGGAGGAAATTATACTGTATCTTTGTTTCCTCATTCCAGCCTCAGCTTAACAGGAATAAATATGTACCAAAATCACAAAATGATAGTAGGACTGGTAGTGGTTGCTTGTATTGAGTGTGTGTGTGTGTGTGTGTGTGTGTGTGTGTGAGTAAGGGAATTGCAAAAAGGAAGGGGGATGTCCCAACCATTTTATTTTTGATATTGGGGAAGAGAAATTTCTGGGGCCCTGACTGACCTACTCACCCTTCCCCTCACATTGTGCCCTACCTCTTGGTCCCCATTTGGACAGTCAGAGTCATCTCTTTTATTTTGGATAAATAGCTGCCTCTCTGAGCCAATACCTTTGACAATTTATTTACACCTGGAAGTTCTTTCTTGGTGGAGTTTCATGCCCTCAGCAGCAGTGGCTCCTTACCTAATCTTAGAAAAACTTCTTTAGAGTCCACTCTCAATGGCTTCTTCCTCTGAAGGAGTCTTGAAGAGAGTTCTCGGGTTTAAGGAAAAGAGGCGCAAGTTGACCTTTTATGGAAGATCATGAGTGGCACCTGAGCTGGAATCAGAATTCAGATAATATGACAAGACAGATGTCACAGTTTTAGGGTTACTGACATACCTGCTGTGCAAAATCCTGAGACAATCAGGGAAATAAATCTCAATCATGTCAAACACATCAAGACAATGAACAAATGCTTTCTTCTCTCCAGGTCTCTGTCTCCTTGACTGTAAAATGAGTAGGTGGGATTGAGTTGAAAATGAAAATTCTTTTGAGTTCTTACAGTCTAAGGTTGGTGTTGAAATAAGAGTTCAAAATCAGGTTTGAGCTGAAAGTGGGAGGAGAGAGACTGTGTTGTCATTTAAACCCTTTGTAAAATCCTTTTGAAAATATTCACCCTGAACTTGAAAGTGATTTACTTTCTCAAACATTGGCAAAGCTTTCAAACCAAAGGACTTCCTCCCCGTGTATAAGGTGGAAGAAGCAGTGTGTGACAGACTAAAGTGAATACTTTATGTTTAGGTGGGTTTGAACACATCTGAGGTAACTGTTACTTTGATAGAAAAATGTTTAATGGGTAGTTATAGAGATGAAAGCACAAATTTGTATAGCATAA